AAGATTATCACAATACTCATTCCTCAGTGAAAACATTAAAGATTTTTCCAGATCAAATCTATTTCCCCTGGAGAGAGAAGCTTTTCCTTGTCATGTGTTACTTTCTGAGATATTCACTTGCTTGGCTTTTCAGTCTGTGGCCGGTTCTGACCCCTCAAAATGTTGAAATGCCCAGAGCTCTTCCTCTTACCTCCTCTCCTCTCTGTCAACACATACTTTCTGCATGATCTCAACCTGGTCTCATGTTTGACTATCGTCTACACAGTGATGACTCCAGAATTTATATTTCCAGCCCAGTTCTTCTCCTGGACGACCATTTGTCTACTTGATGCTTTCAGCTTGAATATGCAACACAAACCTGACATATCCAAATTAGTCTTCTTAATTTCAACCCCTTGTACCCCCTCCCCTAATTGTGCCTCCAAAGTCTTCCCTAGATCTCAGTAAGTGGTGACTCTATCTTCCTAATTGCTCAGATTGTAAACTTTGGGATTATCCCGGCTTCTTCTCTTTATATCAACCCATTCAGTCTGCCAGCAAACCCTGTTAAGTCTGCTGTTCAAATACATCAGTTGTCTGAACTGCCAGAGCTTGGCTGCAGCCACCATCATTTCTGGCACTGGCTCAAGTGAGAACTTCCTGACGAGATTCCGTCTGTGTTATCTCTACATAACCAGAGTGACCCTTTTAAAACAGGCGCAAACCTTTTATGTACCCAGAACCCTGCAATAGCGTGCCACCCAAAGTATAACCCAAAGTCCTTACTATGGCTTACAAGGTCCTACCTGACTTCACTTTACGTAAAGTAGCACCCCTCATCGCTCTGTTGTCCCACTGCCTGCTTTCTTTGTCGCCACCTGACGTATCTGCATGCATGCGTACATACTCTCTTTTTCTATCTGCTGTAATGTAAGCTCCACGAGAGGAGACATACTCTTATTTACATACCCACAGGACCTTGCGCAGTGCCTAGTTCATAGTAAGCACTTAGTGACTGTTTATTGAACATAAGAATGAATGATCAGTATTTTTAAATGGTCACTTTGCTTTCAGTGTGGAAGGTGGAGAGCTGAAATGCTGGGAAGACATGTTGGGAAGTAATAATCTACATGAAAGATAAGAGCCTAAACCAGGGGTGTGGTGTGACGATGGAAAAGAAAGGAGATGTGGAGACCTTTTGGAGGTAGAATTAATAGAAATGCCATTGGTTGGATGTAGGGCAGAGGGAGGAGTCACTGCGAGGAGCCCCACTTAGGTGTCTGGTTGGTAGTGATGCCGTGAGAGAGGGAAGGCAGGAGAGACCTGATTTAGGGGCTGATAGTGGGACATGTAGGTAATTTCCACAGCTCAGGAGTTGAGAAGTGAGGTCAAAAAAGAGATGCACTTTGAGTCATCTACAAAAATAGGAGAAGACAAGGACAGATCTTTGGATTTGGCTGTTTGGAAGTTACGAGGAGACTTTGAGAAAGTGGTTACAGTTATTTGTGTTTGAGCAGAAGCCAGATTACAGTAGATTGAAGAGGACGTGGGACATGAGGAAGTGGCCAGTAATATAGGATAGTATGAAAAAAGGAAAGGGATGGAACAGTGTTTGGAAGAAGAGTCTAGATTAAGAATCATGTCTGTAATATATAAGGAAAGAGTGATTAGAGTTGTAGTAGGGGGTTAATTGATGTAGCAGGACTCTGGAGGGATAGATAGGATAAGACCTTCCAAGAGAGACTGAGTGACCTTGGACAGGAGGAGGGGGCGCGGATAATTTTCCTCCAAGACAGACAGAGCTTGGAAAGGCTGGGTAAGTTATTGAGGAGGATTAAGGGGAATGGGGAATTTAGAGAACTTCCTTTTGATTTGGCTTCTTTTTCTCCCGTTTTTCACAGTGGGAAGACAGACCAACTGTTGGGCTTGTTGAGGCAAAGGAGAGTAGTATCTTGAGATCAAGTAGGACAGATTTAAAACTGAAAAGGAGGCTGACGAGGGATAAGAGGCGACTTTTGAGCTGCTTTGAGGACCTACCTCATTAAGGCTGGAAACATGAGCTCCTATTTGCTGGATGCTCTAGTGAGTACCAGAGTAGAAGATATACTTCCTGTCCTGCGAGAGCTCGAATTCTATTCAGGAGACATTTTCATCCATAAAAATCAGGAATGGCAGAAGGAGCATGTTGGCCAAAGGAGCACATTGTAAATGAGGAACAAGTGAACGAGTGACACTGGTGATGTGATGTCAGAAGGAGAGTAATCGTTATGGTCAGGGAGTACCTTACAGAGGAGGTAGGAGAGAAGCTCGATGAATTTTGATGGTCAGAACAAGGTCATGAAGAAAGCATTCTGGTTTAAGATTTGGTGTTGTGGGAATGATAATAACCTTTTTGTCAGTCTAATTACAGCAGAGAATTGACACCGGAAATAGCGCACTCACCTTAAATTCTTTTTGGATGATAATACCAATGGCACTGTGCTAGGTGCTTGTCTTAATTTGGTTGCTTTAACAAGTTGCCATATACTGGGAGGTTTAAACAACAAACATTTATTTCTCATGATTCTGGGGGTTGGAAATCTGAGATCAGGGTGCTATCATGGTTGGATTCTTGGTGAGGCCATTTTCCGAGTTACGTTCTTAAGTGTCTTTCCTTGGCACATGCATGTAAGGAGTGAGATTTTATGTCTCTTTCTCGTCCCCATCATGAGGGCTCCACCCTCATGATCTCATCTAAACCTAATCAGCTCTGAAAGTCCCACCTCCAAACATCATCACATTGGCGATTAGGGTTTCAACCTGAGAATTTTGGGGAGACACAATATTCAGCCTATGGCAGCACCTTATATATGCATTACACTAACTTTGTTGGGTAGATTTTGTTGAATAAGGTAGGTATCCCTGTGCAAAGAAGGTAGGAGGAAAGTATCATCAGTGAGAAGTAGAAGGGCTGTTTATGGAGCTGTTGAGGAGCTCATAGCTAAGGAATATGAGTTTCTGGGCTACCTCAGCTTTATTTGTATCACACTGCCCAGGATGGAGAGCAGAACATGTGTCAGCCACCTCACTGCTTAGAGATGTTGGGTGCCAGGGCTAAATTGCTCATCCCTGAGCCACAGAAAGGGCTAAGTTCAGGAATTGCCTGGGGCCTGGGATCACTACCAGTCCTTTCCCCTTGGCATCAGAGTCATGGCTATGCCAGAGAGTCCATCTTGGAGCTGTCCTTGGCTCTGAAGTTGCCCGAGCTAGGACACTTGTGGTGGGTCACTGACTTGGCCATGGGGAATAGAGCTGAAGAGAAAAAGCCAGCTTGGTAAAGAGGGAAGGAAAGGTAGTCTGATTAAGTTTTGTCTCAAAGTGTCTGTTTTTGGGTTTGTCCCTGCATTGATCTGCAAGGGAATGAGGCAAGTAATGGCCCCTCAGGGACTTTCAGGACTTTGCTCTCAATGTCAGCCGTCATTTTCAATCACCCTCTCCCTCCCAGCCATTAATTTTGGCCCAGGATCATGGGGACTTGTCCATCTATCACTCCTAATTGACACTAAATGATCTGTCAGTTTATTGATGAACGGCAGGAGTGGAATTGTCACAATATATTTTACTTTCTAACAACTCCTCCTGACAATTTTACCTTGTCCATCTCTCTCTCCTCACATAAATCTCCATTGGCCGCTCATTCCTTCTCATGGGCTGTTCTGGTGCCAGCCACTTCCACACCATCTGCACGCATCAAGGACACCAAGATGGCGGTAGAACTGCTGTGTGCTAGTCCCGAGGTTATCCCCCTTCCCTCCTCCTCTTTTTTTTTCCTCTCTCTTTTTTTAATGGCATAGATGTTCTAAGAATACTAAAGGGCTCTGTCCTCTCCCTCTATGTCATTGCCATACCAGATCTTTTTGCCTCTTTTTAGCAGCAAGTAGTTAATTCCTATTAGGCTGCGAAAGCGTGAAAAGCAAAAACTCATGGAGCAAGAGGGCTCCGAGATCGGTAAGCACAGTTGCAAACACATATTTTGTCCTCTTAAACCAGCTCTGTTACAGGCTGTCCATCCCCATAGAAGTCAATTTCCCAGAAAGGCGTCACAGAGGGAAGGTTAGCTGGAGCTGCCGCTGGTGTGCCGTGTGCTGCACTGTGGGTGCCGCTGTACCATGATGTGGGCACTCCTTGCCTGTGTCCCTGCCGGGGTAGATCTAGCCAAGGACCTAGGCTGGTCACCTGTGACAACGAGAAGTCTCATCCATCCACCCCAGTTAGCCATTTATATGTTATTTTTTCATTGCTTCATGTCTTTAAAAAGACAGGGAAGTACTATGTCAGACATTCATAAGGGTGCAGTTATTTAGTCTCAAGAAGGTGTGTCTATGGATGTGAACACGCTTTATCCCGTACGTGGCCAAGGATGAGTAGAGAAGTTCGATGATATATAAACAATGCAATTGATTCCCTTCCTCATACCTTTCCCGTTGCTGCTGGAGATCGTTTTTGTTAACTGATAAGGACTGTTTTTGTTTATTAACCATCGTGACATTAGCCTTTGTATCAAAATTAATAATTCCTTAATGTCATCTGATATCCAGGTCATATTGAGTTACTTCCATTGTCTCCAAAAATGTATTTTATAGGTGGATTGAAAAAAGGACAAATCAAGGTCCATATATTGCATATAGTTGTTATATTTCTTTCTTCCTTTTTTTTTTTTTGAGTTGGAGTCTCACTCTGTTGCCAGCCTGTAGTGCAGTGTAGATTATAGTGTAGATTGCTCACTATAATCTCCACCTCCCAGGTTCAAGCCATTCTCCCACCTCAGCCTCCTGAGTAGCTGAAACTACAAGTGCGTACCACCATGCCTGACTAATTTTTGTATTTTTAGTAGAGATGGGGTTTCACCATGTTGGCTGGGCTGGTCTTGAACTCCTGACCTCAGGTGATCCTCCCGCCTCAGCCTCCCAAAGTGCTAGGCATTAGCCACCTCGCCTGGCCTAGTTGTTATATTTCTTTTTCTTTTTCTTTTTTTTTGCAGAGACAAGTAAACATTTATTTTTGTACCTTTCCTCCTCTGTGTATTTCAAGTCTTTCTCACAAGGCCCCAGGAATCACCAGATTCAATTATGTCCCTGGGCTTGTCCACTGCTGCAGGAGTCTTAGGGAGCCTTGTACAAATGCTAGAGTTACTCAATTACCAACATTAAACCCTAGAATAAGAGATGCAGCAAAGCAGAACTCCTTCCTCCATGTAATGTACTGATTTCAGACGAGGCAGCAGCCAATGTAGAAAACGCTGGAATTTTTCCTTGGAACTGGATTGTGATGAGAGGTGCTTGCGATGTACATAAGCTACTGTTTTTTTCTTTTGAAACAGTTTCGCTTGTTGCCTAGGCTAGAGTGCAATGGTGTGATCTTGGCTCACAGCAACCTCTGCCTCCTGGGTTCAAGCGATTCTCCTGCCTCAGCCTCCCGAGTGGCTGGGATTACAGGCATGCGCCACCATGCCCGCTAATTTTTGTATTTTCAGTAGAGACAGGGTTTCACCATGTTGGTCAGGCTGGTCTCGAACTCCCGACCTTAGGTGATCCGCCCTCCTCAGCCTCCCCAAGTACTGGGATTACACACCGCACCTGGCCAGCTACTGTCTTTTCTTTCACCGTTCCTTTCCAGTTTTTAAAGATAAAGCAGGAAATAATCTTCTCTGAAGATACTTGATAGAAATTCTCCAAACCCAAAAACACATGCTTCCACTTCATTGATAAAAATTTATTGCAGTTTGGTACCTGGTTCTAGTTCAGCTGGCGGTTAAGCTTATTGATGCATTCACCCCGATAGCCAGGTGTGCCCATCTCCTTGAGGAAGCCCACTCTATTTTTGGTAGCATGACGGGCCACTGAGAGGTGGAAAGGGCGCAAGAACCATGAGATCTCCTGGGAAATGCTTCCCCGGGAAGGCAATTTCATGAATGAGGTCTTCCAAGCAAATGACACCAAACTTCCCCAGGTGCTCCTCAATCACAGTGTTGTCTGTCAGAGGGATGGTCTTATTCTTGACCCTGGCTTGTCCACGTTTCAAAATGAGTTCCCGGACAGACTTCAGATTTGGAAATCCCCAGGTCACATAAGGTTCCACTATATGCAGCATTTTTAGGTTCTGGGGAATGACTTTTACAAAGACACCACTAAAAATTTTCTTTAGGCGAAGTCTTGCAATGGTTCTCTGCACCAGTAAACTCACACCATCAATCCTTTCAATGCGTATGACAAAGGTCAAAGAATGTTTATCTGGCAATTCCAAGGCGTGAGGCTTCACTTCCAGTCGTCTGACACGCACCTTGTCACGTGTCTGCCGCCAGGAATCATGTAGGAATGATTCCAATCGCTTAAACCTGGGCCCTTTTCCTTTCCTCTGCTCCTTCTTTGCCAAAAGTGCCTGCTTTGCCTGAGTGGCTTTGAGGGCTTGATAAGCCTTCCTCTTTTTCAGGAGATTTTCTGGAACCAAAGGGATTTTTCTTTGCTCTTGCTCCGCCATCTTTCCGGTGTAGCAGCTACTCTAGTTGTTATATTTCTATAGTCTCTCTTTTATTCTGCAGCAATCGCCACCCCCTATTTTTTCCCCAGTGCCGTTGATCTTTCCTCCCTCCCTTTCTTCCTTCTTTTTTAGAAACAGGGTCTTGTTCTGTTCCTCAGGGTAGAGTGCAGTGGCATCATAGCTCACTGCAACCTTGAACTCCTAGGCTCAAGTGATATACTTCTGCCCCAGACTCCCAATTAACTAGGACAGGTGCATGCCACCATGCCTGGCTAAATTTTTAAAAATGTTTTGTAGAGACAGGGTCTTGCTGTGTTGCCCAGGCGGTCATGATGATTTCCTTTTTTAAAGAAACGTGTCCTGTAGAGTTTCCCACATTCTGGATTTGAGTCGTTACTTCCTAGTCATGGTGTTTAACTTGTTTCTCTATCCCTCATATTCCCTGTTAAACTGATAATTAGATGTAGCTCTAAATGGTAGTTCCATTTAGGCCAGTTTGGGCAGGAATACTTGTAAGCAGTGCCGTGTACATCCCACTATATCATCTTGAAGGCACAGGTGTGAGAAAGCACAGGTGTCTGGTCATTCCACTTTGAGCCTGTGATTGACCAGTGGGGGCAGGGCTGTGTGAGTCTCCATTTTATATCCTCATCAGACTCCCTTCTCATGGTTGGAACATCCATTGATGATAGTTGCTAGAGCCATGATTTCATTAAAGGTTGTTGAATGATGATTGTCTAATTTCCATTTGTTAACAGAAATTCTTCTGTAATGTACTGTCTCTCACCAGCTAGTTGGTTGCTTGAAATACATTTTATACTTGTAATCCTACCTTTTTCTCCTAGTATTTTCATTTTGAAAAATTTCAAGCCTATAGAAAAGTTGCAATAGTGGTACAGCAAACACCCATGTATACTTTTACCTGGAACAACCAGTTGTTAGTGTTTGCCTAAATGTGACTTTTCCCTTATTCTCTGTGTTTTAAACTTTTAAAAAATTGAACTAATTAAGAGCTGCAGCTGCCTTTGCCTTTGCATTACTATTAATAGTAACAAGCAAATAGTTACTGTGCAAGAGATGTGTGTCTGTTTTGTTTGCATCTGGGTCTGTAGGGCTTGGTACACATAGGTGCTCAGTACATATTTGATCAATGAGTAAATTTTGGTCATTTCTTACATAGTTCTAATAATTGAAAAGGGTGTCCCTGGTATGACAGGCAGCTCTGATTTTCAGTAAAGTAGAAGGACTTAATCCTTGACCTTCAGATTTTCATCTGTAAACACAATTTTGCTCATTTAGTTTTCAAGAAACGCAAAACAAAACTGAAATATTGAGAACTGATTTTTCCCTTGCTACCCTTAGCCACAAAGAACTTGGAATCGGCATGGCATGACCGGAGTCCTGAACAATGTGTGTGAACAGTTGTTTGGTTGTTAACTAAGTCAGTCGGGTACCAGAAATGAGTGTTCAACATTTGGTGAAGTCAAATGGGGCTGTTGCATGTGAGATGGTTGAGAAGGAAGGTCTTAGGTAGCTAACTGTGCTCCCATTTCCAGTGGCTGTGCCTAGAGTTTAGGGGCTATGTCCCCATTTCTGTGGTTTTTGGAGATGCTTGTGTGAACTCTGCTTGGACCTCTGTCTCAATTTCACCATCATGCATTTTGCCCTGCATAGATGGTTTTCTGCCATGTGCCTTCTGAGATTTGGTCAGTTCGGAAAGGATGGCTCTGGGACCATGTAACACCATATCTTGTTAATGTACATCTTAGATTTGTTTATGCTAGATAGGTTCCCCAAAGTGTAATTTTTTGCTTTGCTCTCAACTTATATTCAGAGCCTGGACAGAAAGATGGTAGAGGAAGAGCTAGGTAAGTTTTTATTTTAATGAACTTAGAGAATCCACAGTTATTTTTAAAAACTGGGATTCAGCTGCATTGTTTATTGCAGGAAATCATTATATGTTCAGCAAGATTTGAAGATGAAGTGAGTAACCCCCAGACTGTGTATTGTGAAGGCTTTAAATATGGCACACATAGATCCATAGGCTAGGGAAGAGGTATGAAGGTGCATCAGCCTTTTTCTCATTGAGGATTTGGGGGAGCACTTTCATGAACTGCTACTTGTGTTGATATAGTGACATTTGATGCAGAGCAAGCAGAGACGTTCTAGGTTATGTTCATTGCAGTTTAAGGCCTCAGATGGCTAGTGACTAGTATCACAAAGCCCATTTACTTAGGCAAATGACTAAGCATGAAATCATTGGACTCTTGCACTTCTCTTGAGTGCCTCCCATTCAAAGGGGACAGCAGTGTGTCCCCACAAGCCCTGCTGCAGCAGCATTTGGATACTTTACTTCCCACTCTGAAAAGCAAAGCAGTCCTCCTGACAAGTAGCCCTGGTCAGTTCTCTCCCTGGATCAGAAGGGAGCACCCAATGCCCTAGGGAGGTAGCTGGAGAATAGGTAGGGGCTTGAGATGAACTTGTTGCCTATGCATGTGTGCCAGGGAGAGGACAGCTGAGACCCAGAGGCCACACATTGTACAAGGCTGCATCTCTAAGGACCCGTCAGCAGAACTGTTTCCCAACTGCCTGTGGGCTGGACTTGCAGGGAGGCTGCCAAAAGATGGCCAGGTGCAGGCGCAAGCCTTCCCTCCCTGAGAGCCTGCTCCCAGCTTCCTCTCTGGCCTTCAGGTTTTCTTAAATGAAGCAACCCTTGACTTTCACTGTAATTAAAACCAAGAGTGGTTCTACAGTGGGTTCTCTGTACGTCCTGTGAAGGTTTTGACTTTTGGCCTTTACAGTTTCTAGTTTTGCAGAAATGAAAATGCTCTGGTGACTACAGCAGGTCAGTTATTGGAGCCAAGGGTAGTATTGTAAAGTTGGAAGGTCTCAGAGAGTCAGGAGAGAAATGAGCGGCCCACGAAAGTGTCCCTTAAATAACAGCTAAAAGCACAGCCGCCTATGGAATATTCCTTTGTTTTTCTGGACTTGCACAAAGTTAGAGCCAGTCTCATCCAATGTCCTGTCAAATTCTAGTGTTTCTACTAAGTGCTTGCCAGGGTCTGCTTGAACCCCTCCCACTGGGGAACTTGGTAGAAACAGCCCCACTGATTCTGTTTTTTAATAAAAAACAGTTGTACAAGCAAACTGATAGCTCTTTAATGATGTAAAAATTCAAACAAGGCAGATAAAGCTAAATTTGACTAAAACTAGTATTTACTGTGATCCTGGCCATCCCTCCTGAAGTAATTACTGGAATAGTTTGTTGGTGTCTTTTACACACTTCAATACTTTAAATGTACTTTAAAAAGTATATTTTTTATATATAAACAAATCATATTAAGTGCATTCTGCACCTTACATTCTTTTTTATTCTTGCAGTAAGTACATCCTGGAGATCTTTTAGTTCACGTCTGTTTACCGCAGTTTTCTTACTGCTCCATGATAATCCCGTGGTATGGATGCCCTGTTCCCCTGTTGGTGAACATTCAGTTCTTTCTTTCTTTTTTCTATTTTTGCCATTATCTTCCCCCTGAGTTTCTTTAGACAGCTCTAGACTTTAGGAAATTTGCAGCTTCATCCTCAGAAACAGATTCTGGTTTCCAGGGATGTGCTGCAGAACCCGTGTGTGGAGAGCCTACACGCCTTGCCTGTCCAGTTGTTTAGATGAGGACACACACACTCCCATACCCACGTACACACATTATTTATTGTGACTTATTTTACTGGGCACTGTGCTAAACACAGTTATCTTTTTCCTCAAAACAACCCATGGAGTAGGCATTGTTATTATCCCTGCTTGCAGATGAGGAAACTGATTTTCAAAAAGTTAAGTAACTTCCTCGGAGTCACACAGCTAGCGACTAGCCAGCCAGAATTTGGACCAGGTAAGTCTGATCGTAGGGATCATGGTCTCATTCTCAGCGCTTTGCTGCCTTCTGTTTTATTTCCCCTTGACACCTGATAACAGCGTCTTTGCCCATGGTAGAGCCTCAGCAGATATTCCCTGAGGGCTATTTTGACAAGAAACCAATATGTTCGGTTTGTGAGAATAATGGCAAGGAGTGCATGCGTGACCTAAGCCCTTCCCAGCTTCCTTTGACCTCGCTTTCTGCAGAGCTGTGCTCCAGCCAGCTGCCTGACCCACCAGAAGAAAGTGAATGCAGAGGATCCAGCCTGCTCTTAGGAGCACTGGCCAAGGCCCTGCCAGCCCTGCCAGCCCTGCCATTAAAAGGCTTAATTAGGCTAGTCATTAAGTTCAATTAAGCATTGGAAATGATTGTCCCTTCTAACCCTGCAGTGCCCTCTAAGAACTGGATCCATTCCCAGGCAGCCTGCTCGGGAACCAGGTTCTAGTTACAGGTGCACCTGTAAAACTGCTTCTGGTTTTGGGGCCTGTGACTTCACTGCTAGACTGAGGACAGAGTAGCCCAGAGCGAGACACTCTAAGTACGTGTTATATCGGGTTAGGTGTCTGCCTTTGAGGCCATTTCCTAAGTTCATTTCTGAGCCACCTTTTCTTATTGGGCCACCGTTTCCCTGGGTGTCATTAGGAGTCAGGACATCTGCCTGTGCCGTGGGCACAGAGCAGAGCCCTGGGCTGGGTGAGAGGAGAAGAGGTACAGTGTAGCCCTGTGCAACCAGCTCAGTTCCCTTGGCCTCTGTCTCTTCAGCCTTACACAAAAGGGGTCTCAAAGGCCCTCCCCAACTCCAAAAGGATGTGTGAACATCTGAAACATACTTTCTAGATGACTTGCTTGAAACAAGTTCCTTTTGTTTGTGATTTATTTTATTACCTTGAAATGAAACAGTTGACAAGCACTGAGGCGGGGCCAGGGGCCAGGTGAGTAGAGGCAAGAATGAACCGCCACAGTGTGTTTAGGATGAGCACGCCAGACTGCAGAGGGGAGGAGGAGGATAGTTGGGCAGGGTAGAGAAGAGCTCATATGCAGGGCCTGGAACTCCAGGCAGGCCTTATTTTTTTAGGAAATAGGAGCCATTGCGGTGTTGACAGGCGTGGGACTGGTGGTGCAAGGTATCACGCTTTTTTTTTTTGAGACGGAGTCTCGCTCTGTTACCCAGGCTTGGGTGCAGTGGTGCGATCTTGACTCACTGCAGCCTCTGCCTCCTGCACTTCTGAATGCCTTTTTGACATGGCACAACCTTGGGGTACTTGCAGATGTAAAAGGAAATCTGTTTCTCCCAATGTAGAGTCCTCTTGGCGCAGTGTGAAAACTGTTTTCTCCTACTGTGCCCTCAGTACTCCGTTTGTATGTGTATAGAAGTTTTTCTCCATCCACCACCCATTTCTGCAGTGGACACCACGGTTTCCCTCAATTCTGATGCTATCTGCCTGGAGTTAACATCAGATCTCACAGATTCAGAGCTGAGTCCCACAAGACTGGCCTACATTTCCAATGCCGGTTGCAAGCCCTGGGTTATTTCACCTGTGTGTCTGAACCACTGGCTATAATCAAGTGTTCCTATGACCCCCTGTCCAGTTTGATTAATTTGCTAGAGTGGCTCACAACTCAGGGAAACCAGTTTATTACAAAGCATATTTTATTTCTCTTTTTTCTTTTTTGGGACAGAGTCTTACTTGCCCAGGCTGGAGTGCAGTGGCGCTATCTCAGCTCACTGCAACATCCACCTTCTGCCCCATGTGCCTCAGCCTCCTGAGTAGCTGGGATTACAGGCATGTACCACCATGCCCAGCTAACTTTTGTATATTTAGTAGAGACCCAGTTTCACCATGTTGATGAGGCTGGCCTTGATCCCCTGGCCTCAGGTGATCCACCCGCCTGGGCCTCCCAAAGTGCTCCCAATGAGCCACCATGCCAAGCCACGAAGCATATTTTAAAAGATGCAAATGAAGAATATAGGGCAAGGTTTGGAAGGGACCTGATTGTAGGAGCTTCCGTTCCCATGGAGTTGAAGTGTGCCACCCTCCCATCACGTGCAGACATTCTTGCTCTGCAACCCAGAAGCTCTCTGAACCTAGTCCTTTTGGGTGTCTATGGAAGCATCATTGTGTAGACACAATTGATTAAATCATTGGTATTGGCAGTCAGCTCAACCTTCAACACATCTCCCTTCCTGAGGTCAGGGAGTGGGTTTCCCTGGCAACCAGCCTCCATTCTGAGGCTGTTCAGAAGCCCCCCTCCATCTATCTCCCATCAGTCATTCATTAGCATACAAAAAGACATATCACTTTGGAGATTCCTAGGATTATAGGAGCTATGTGTCAGGAAACCAAAGATTTACAGTTGGCCTTTAGAACTGAGAAAGTCCACCTGTAGGAGGATTTCCTTCTGCCTCTACCACCCCTGAAACATCAAGGCCAACCCTTCCTCTGCCTCCTCCTGATGCACTTCCACATAATGGGTAGTAAACATGTTTTTCTTCCTTCCAATTTTCCTCTGGCTTACTTTATTGTAATACAGTATATAGTTATATAACATACAAAATATGTATTGATTGACTAATTATGTTATTAGTGAGGCTTCCAGTCAATGGTAGGCTGTATGTGGTTAAGTCAGATTTCAACTATATGAGGGGTCAGTGCCCCTAACACCCACATTGTTCAGTGGTCAACTGTATTTGGATGAAGATCAAACAGATATTTCTCATTCTCAATCACCGTAACACACTCTTCTTAAGGGCTTACTCATCCACATTCTTAATAGCAAGTGTTCTGTTCTCTTTTCAGGCTGGACACAGTTGTGGAGAGGGTCTGTTCATCTTTTTCCCCTGGGTTTGCCAGCTTTTTCTCTAGCATATCCTGGCAGTGTTTCTCATTCGCATCCTTAGAATTGTACTCCTCTTGCATCCATGTCAAATCATTGCTTTGTCTTCTGAAACCATATGTGAAGGTTAACTAATTAGAATTATGTGAGGTGGCTTTTTCCATAGGATATGTATTCCTTCCTGACTAGAGTGAGTTCTCACTTGAGATGTGCTGTCATAGTTGGAGTTAAAATCTGCAATCAACAGAAAATCCTATTAACAGAGGCCTAAACAGAAAGGATTTTGTCTCACTAAAGGAGGGGTCCAGGGCTTAGCAGCCCAGGGCTGTAGGTACCTGCAGAGCCAGGAGGGATGGAGCTCTTTCCCTTTCTGTCCCAGCGTCCTTAGCATGTGGGCCCTTGTCACCATGCCCATGCCTCCTGGCTGTGTGATGGCTGCTGTACCGCCAAGCCTCACCTGTTTTCCAGGCAGAAAAAAGAGCGACATGAAAGTGAAGGAGGGGAGGGCTCTTTCTTAGCAAGAAGTTGTGTTTTTGGAGGTGAGGGAGGGGAATGTGCTGCATTTTTCTCGTGGGTCAGAAATGAGGTGCATGACTATCCCTCAGTCCCAGAAAGGCTGGGAAATGGATGTTTAGTTGGCTCATTGTCACCCCAAACAAATTGGTATTTGAATCAAGATGTGGGGAGATGGCTTTGGGTGGGTGCCAAGCTATCTTCTGCGGTCTGACCCCATCAAGCTGAGTTTCAGAAGTCACTAGATGAGACTGCCCTACTCTAAAGACTGTGTCATGTGATGTGGAGGGTTAGGTGTGTAGGTAGTGCAGAAATCCTTTCACCTAATTCTAGAAGCTTCCCAGAGGTGGAGAACCCTTCAGAAAGATATGAAAGCCAGAAAAAGTTGCTTTTTAGACAGGAATAAACAGAAGTGACTGAAATGAAGAAAGGGAACCAAGAGGCAGAAAAAGTAAAACAGGAGATGGAAAAAAAAATGAGAGGGCTACCTGCCGAGAAACTGCGAGGTGAATTAATGGTGTTGCGGAAAGCATTGGCCGGCTGGTGGGAAGGCTTTGTGAGCGGGACAAAATGTTTCTCCTGTGGGGCTGCGGGGGAGCCTGTAGATGGGGTCAGCAGGTCAGGTGGCAAGGGCAGGCTGCTGGACTTGCCACTGAGGGTGGCCCGGACAAGTTCAGCAAGGGAGGCAGGAATATGTGTAAGCAGGGGAAGCGGCAGGTCCCCAGAAGCAAAACGTATGAAGCTACTCCCCTGGGCATACCCAGCCAGCACCCATCTCAGGGGTAGCGGTCAGTTACAGGATCGAGGAGGAGAAAGACAGCATCTCAAGCAAGGACAAGCAGCACAGGGAAGAGACAGGATGGGAACCACCACCACACCAAAATAATGACGATGGTAGCAACAGCTACTGTTCACTGAGCACTTCCTGTGTGCCAAGTTCTATGCAAAATGCTTTGCCTGAATTAACTTATTTGATTCTTGAACAACTTTGTGAAGTAGAATGTGATATTATCACCAGCTTGGCAGAGTTTAAAGTGACTTGTCCAAGAGCATGCAGCTAATGAATGATGAAACTTGGTTCTAAACCCAGAACCTATGACACTTTGTTCTGAACTTAGAGCTGATTCCTGCTGCTATAACAAAGACTCCTGCTGCCCACAGAATGGGCAATTTATAAATGATAGAAATGTGTGTCTCACCGTTCTGGAGGCTAGAAAGTCCAAGATCAAGGCACTAGCAGATTCAGTGTCTGGGGAAGGCTACTCTGTACTTCCAAGATAGTGCGTTGTTGCTATGTACTCATCTGGCGGAAGGCAGAAAGGACTAGCTACCCACTAGCCCTTCAGTAAGGGACTAATCCCTTGTGATGGCCTTGTCACCTTCCGAATACCGTGGCATTGAGGATTCAGTTTCAACATCAATTTTGGAGGGGCCACAAATATTCAAGCCGTAGCACCCTCTGACTTTGAGCCGGAGACCATACTCAGTATCACTGGCTTCAAGCTAAATTTAAATTTAGCTTGAATTTAAATTGGGGCCCGAGATTAGAGCTCAGCACGTACACCTTGGCTGGCCTGATTCTGAGTGACTGAGCCTGGGGTTCCTGGAGTCCTGTCTGACCTGGGGAATAGGAAGGTTGGTTTCTGAGCTCCCTGTGTTTGGAAGGTTTGGCAGGCCTAGGTAGCTATCCTCTTTCCAACTGTTCGGAGCGAAAGGAAATAAGTCATATTAAGCAGGAAGAAAACAAATGGAAATGTTAAGAGCAAGTTAACTGTTTAGGAGAGGAGTATAAAGGGAAGTAACTTTTCTCTGTGCAATTGGGAAAGTTGTAGCAGGTCCGACAATAGCTAAGAAAAAGAAAGACGGACCAAGGAGGAAAATGCCTTAAATTCTTAGGTAGAAAGAGTGTTTGGGTCAACTTTGTTTTGCCTAAAAGTAATTGAAAAAGGGAAGAGGCAGGTCTACCGGCCTGCCCGCCCGCTCACCTGCCTGCCTCCCCACCTGCCTGCCCGCCTGCCCACTTACCTGCCTGCCTCCCCACCTGCCTGCCCGCCCGCCTGCCTGCCTGCCTGCCTACCTTCCTACTCTGTTCCTTCCCTCCCTTCCCCTTTTTTCTTTACCCTGCCATGTTGTCATTGCAGCTTCCAGACCTGCACACTACATTGTCTTGATTGAGATTTTAGGGCTGGATAAACCAGTTGCAAGGAAGGGACTGTGTGGGGGTTGTCAGAATAGAGGACTGTATTAATGGGGAACAGATGTGGGTGGGGGCCAGAATCTAGGGGAGGCAGGGTCAGTGATCATTCACAGAGCTGGGGAGTCCTGAGAAGCTATGGAGGCGTCCCCCTTCCATTTGGAGATGGAGAAAATGAGAGCTAGGGAGGTTAAGTGACACTGAGTTATAGAATCTTAGAGTTAGAAAGGCCCTTAAATGTCACCTTGCCCCACTGCCCAAGGTCGTACAGCTAATTAGTATAATAGAATGTGCCTCTTATTCTGCAGCCATGCCCATTCTCAAACCTTGAGTGCTGCGTGCATTCATCTCAAGTTCACGAAAAGGCCATGCACTATACTATTTGTGCAAGAGTGAGTCTGTTAGAATAAAATTGTCTTTACTGCTGTCCTCTGGGACCCTCACAGAATTGAGATGTTGATCGTATGAAGCCATCTTATTGAACAAAAAAACTTCCAAGGAAAAAAGTTGTGTCCCCTGAGCCAGCCAGTCTCTGCTACGGGGGCCCGCTGCTTTGCAGAGTGAGCAGCTGAAAGCCAGGAGGGAATGATTAGAGATGCCAACCATTGGTTAAAATTCT